GCGGGGACACCCCCAGACACCCCCCGCCCCCCGGCAAGGGCAGAGAGCCACCGCGGCAGGGGAGAGGGCTGGGGGCCAAGGCGGGGGTTTCCCAAGCTCTGGTTTAATCCTGCTGGGAAGCTCCACGGCTCAGTGCTGGCTGGGGCCAGGGATGGAGAGGGGAGCAGGCAGCCTGTGTGTCGTCCCCCTGCTGCGGTGTGGGCTTTTGAACCAACCCTTAGCGTTTTTGGCCAGAAAAAGGGGGAGGCAGGTCCCTGCATCCCCCCCCTCCCCAGGCACCCAGCTCAGCACCCCTCCCACAAAGCGCTGGATGCATCCGTCCCGGAAAGACCCCACGGCTTCCCAATCGACGGGCATGGGGGGGGTCCCCGGGGCTGGGGGCAGGCAGGGATCTCCGGCTAGAGCCGAGCAAGAGGCATCCCGGTTGCTTAGAGACGGCCACAGGAAACCTTCCCATCCGCCGGCTGGCGCGGGGGGGGGGAGGGGGGGTGGCGGGCGGCGGGGGGGGGGGGCGAGGGCGGCTGCTCCCTGCTCTGGCGCTGACCCGTCGCCCCCGGATCACCGGGACAGGGCTGTCCCCGGGGCATCCCCACAGGCAGGGCGGATTTTCAGGTCCTTACGTCCCCCCCAGGGAGAGCAGGACAGAGGCTGTGAAAACCCCAGCCCCCCTGTGAGAAGGAGGGTAGGGGTGAAAAGGGGGGGTCCCAGCCACAGCCGGACCCGCACGGAGGGCCTGGCAAAGCAGCAAGTGGGTGGGAACACCTCACGAATCCCCCCGGGGACGAGGACAGCGGGGACCGGCCACAGGCGGAGGCCGGCGCCCAGCAATGCTGGGGGAGGGCAGGGATTGAGCGGGGGATTAAAAAGCAGGAAAAAAAAGGGGAAAAAAATAAAAAAGAGCTAAATCCTCGCTGTTTGGCCAAATGACAAGGACAGGCAGCAGTGCTGGCAGGGCAGGGCAGGGCCTGGAGGGCGAGGAGAGCCCTGCTGCCCACAGCGCCTGGGGTCCCACTCCCTCCTGGGCTCAGGGGGGCAAGAAAGGATGGGGGGGCAGTAGCCACGAGCACCCTCCCAGCACCCCATGCCCGCACCCAAGGGTGCGGGACAGGTGCAGCAATTAATTACCCTTGCAGTTATTCCCCCGGGGCGGGGGAGGCTGCCAGGACCCTGCACCCCTGCGCCGGGGCAGGTTCAATCCGGTCCCTGCCTCCGCCACCAATTAATCAGGGCCCGGAGGCATCGCCCGTCCCCGTGGCAACGCCAGGGCCCTGTCGATGCTGACGGGGGTTGCCATGGCAACCCCGGACCGGCCGATGGGGACCCCAGCTAACGGGGGGGGGGGGGCAAGAGCCTATCACAGCCCCGTGGTCGTCACCTTGCCCTGGGCGGGCACGGCCACCTTGGTGTGTCCCCCCTCCAGGCACCCTCGGGTGCCCCTGCAGCCACCCACGCCAGGATGGGGCCCATTTCTACTGCCACCCTCGTATGTAGGGTGCAAATAAAGAGTGGAGTCACCCAGCCCCCCAGCAGGACCCAGGGTCCCAAGGGACACACCCTGCTCCATCCACCTCCCTGGGGAGAAGGCGATGGGGGGGGAAAGGGGGGGAATCTCCCACCCCCAAGGGTGCCGGGCCCCCCCCCGGGTGTCCCTTTGCAGGGTAGCAGAGGGGGCAGAGGCACCAGCCGGGGGGGAGGGGCAGAGGC